CAGAGCAGTGTGTCTCTCTCTACTGTAGCAGGTCTCAGAGCAGTGTGTCTCTCTCTACTGTAGCAGGTCTCAGAGCAGTGTGTCTCTCTCTACTGTAGCAGGTCTCAGAGCAGTGTGTCTCTCTCTTCTTGTATAGTTCTCTACTGTAGCAGGTCTCAGAGCAGTGTGTCTCTCTCTACTGTAGCAGGTCTCAGAGCAGTGTGTCTCTCTCTACTGTAGCAGGTCTCAGAGCAGTGTGTCTCTCTCTACTGTAGCAGGTCTCAGAGCAGTGTGTCTCTCTCTTCTTGTATAGTTCTCTACTGTAGCAGGTCTCAGAGCAGTGTGTCTCTCTATACTGTAGCAGGTCTCAGAGCAGTGTGTCTCTCTTCTTGTATAGTTCTATACTGTAGCAGGTCTCAGAGCAGTGTGTCTCTCTCTACTGTAGCAGGTCTCAGAGCAGTGTGTCTCTCTTCTTGTATAGTTCTATAATGTAGCAGGTCTCAGAGCAGTGTGTCTCTCTTCTTGTATAGTTCTATACTGTAGCAGGTCTCAGAGCAGTGTGTCTCTCTCTACTGTAGCAGGTCTCAGAGCAGTGTGTCTCTCTTCTTGTATAGTTCTATAATGTAGCAGGTCTCAGAGCAGTGTGTCTCTCTTCTTGTATAGTTCTATACTGTAGCAGGTCTCAGAGCAGTGTGTCTCTCTCTACTGTAGCAGGTCTCAGAGCAGTGTGTCTCTCTCTACTGTAGCAGGTCTCAGGGCAGTGTGTCTCTCTCTACTGTAGCAGGTCTCAGAGCAGTGTGTCTCTCTCTACTGTAGCAGGTCTCAGAGCAGTGTGTCTCTCTATACTGTAGCAGGTCTCAGAGCAGTGTGTCTCTCTATACTGTAGCAGGTCTCAGAGCAGTGTGTCTCTCTATACTGTAGCAGGTCTCAGAGCAGTGTGTCTCTCTTCTTATATAGTGCTATACTGTAGCAGGTCTCAGAGCAGTGTGTCTCTCTCTACTGTAGCAGGTCTCAGAGCAGTGTGTCTCTCTCTACTGTAGCAGGTCTCAGAGCAGTGTGTCTCTCTATACTGTAGCAGGTCTCAGAGCAGTGTGTCTCTCTTCTTATATAGTGCTATACTGTAGCAGGTCTCTCAGTCTCACTCACATCAATGGCTGTATATGAAATTCACCCTCTGCCACGTCTACCGCCTCACCAAGCAGCTCACACACTGGGATCAGCGATCCGCTGGACTAGACTCTGTCAGTACAGAACCACAAAGTCTTGCTATGGTGTCGTGGAATTGGAAATGTGTGTGTTTCCCCTCAGTGGTCCTGTTAAGAGTTAATAGAAGACTACCCAAGTCATTTTAATCCTTTTAACAGCTACAGTAAAGTAGGGTCAGCTACAGTAAAGTAGGGTCAGCTACAGTAAAGTAGGGCCAGCTACAGTAAAGTAGGGTCAGCTACAGTAAAGTAGGGTCAGCTACAGTAAAGTAGAGTCAACTACAGTAAAGTAGAGTCAGCTACAGTAAAGTAGAGTCAGCTACAGTAAAGTAGGGTCAGCTACAGTAAAGTAGTGTCAGCTACAGTAAAGTAGGGTCAGCTACAGTAAAGTAGGGTCAGCTACAGTAAAGTAGTGTCAGCTACAGTAAAGTAGTGTCAGCTACAGTAAAGTAGGGTCAGCTACAGTAAAGTAGGGTCAGCTACAGTAAAGTAGAGTCAACTACAGTAAAGTAGAGTCAGCTATAGTAAAGTAGGGTCAGCTACAGTAAAGTAGTGTCAGCTACAGTAAAGTAGGGTCAGCTACAGTAAAGTAGGGTCAGCTACAGTAAAGTAGAGTCAGCTACAGTAAAGTAGAGTCAGCTACAGTAAAGAAGGGTCAGCTACAGTAAAATAGAGTCAGCTACAGTAAAGTAGTGTCAGCTACAGTAAAGTAGTGTCAGCTACAGTAAAGTACGGTGAGCTACAGTAAAGTAGGGCCAGCTACAGTAAAGTAGGGTCAGCTACAGTAAAGTAGAGTCAGCTACAGTAAAGTAGGGTCAGCTACAGTAAAGTAGAGTCAGCTACAGTAAAGTAGTGTCAGCTACAGTAAAGTAGAGTCAGCTACAGTAAAGTACGGTGAGCTACAGTAAAGTAGAGTCAGCTACAGTAAAGTGGGGTCAGCTACAGTAAAGTAGAGTCAGCTACAGTAAAGTAGAGTCAGTTACAGTAAAGTAGGGTCAGCTAAATAAAGTAGAGTCAACTACAGTAAAGTAGAGTCAGCTACAGTAAAGTAGAGTCAGCTACAGTAAAGTAGAGTCAGCTACAGTAAAGTAGGGTCAGCTACAGTAAAGTAGAGTCAGCTACAGTAATGTAGGGTCAGTTACAGTAAAGTAGGGCCAGCTACAGTAAAGTAGAGTCAGCTACAGTAAAGTCGGGTCAGCTACAGTAAAGTAGAGTCAGCTACAGTAAAGTAGAGTCAGCTACAGTAAAGTCGGGTCAGCTACAGCAAAGTAGAGTCAGCTACAGTAAAGTAGAGTCAGCTACAGTAAAGTAGAGTCAGCTACAGTAAAGTAGAGTCAGCTACAGTAAAGTAGAGTCAGCTACAGTAAAGTAGAGTCAGCTACAGTAAAGTAGTGTCAGCTACAGTAAAGTAGGGTCAGCTACAGTAAAGTAGGGTCCGCTACAGTAAAGTAGGGTCCGCTACAGTAAAGTAAGGTCATTACCATCATCACTCATTAATGAGCTAAATACCACTCACTGAACATATATTCATATTAAATATTCATATAAAAAAATATATACAAATAAATAAATAAAATATGAAACATTCATATTAAAAAATCTAACAGGATTAGTAGTATTCAATAAGCACTTGATGTATTGTAATGTATTCACTTTACTCATGCACAACACTTTATAATGAATTAGTCTCATTGTCTAAGGCGCTGCTCATTAAAAAAGGCATCGCATGCCATAGGTTTAGTTAATTACTGTAGTGTACTGAGTGGGGGTGGAGATGAGCTGGGGGTGGGGGGTGGTGGGATAGCCTAATGATGAGTGCTTTTAAAGTGTTTATAAAGTTTTGATAAAGAGTTTATAGTGTTTATAAAGAGTTTATAAGCTTATCAAGTTTTCTGGTCTTCCAGGGTTTTCTATGTCTTCCTTTCGTTGCAAGCGGAGTTCTACAAGAGAGACAGACCTCCCTCCCTCCCCGCCTCTCCCTCCCTCTCTCCCTCCCTCCCCGCCTCTCCCTCCCTCTCTCTCTCCCTCCCTCTCTCCCTCCCTCCCTCCCCGCCTCTCCCTCCCTCTCTCTCTCCCTCCCCGCCTCTCCCTCCCTCTCTCTCTCCTCCTCCCCGCCTCTCCCTCCCTCTCTCTCTCCCTCCCCCTCTCTCTCCCTCCCTGCCTCTCCCTCCCTCTCTCTCCCTCCCTGCCTCTCCCTCCCTCTCTCTCTCTCTCTCTCTCTCTCTCTCCCCCTCCCCGCCTCTCTCTCCCTCCCCTGGGAGAGAGTAATTAATAATCTTAATTCCACAACAGCAGCACATTTACACATAACAAGCTGCAATACTCTCCAAACTTCAGAGCCAGACAGGACTGGTCACCAAGTTACTTCATTGAAAAATGCCTTGGTAAAGCAATGCGTTTAGGTATCAGCAGATGTGTTGGAAACAGTGACTGAGGCTAATCTTTATTAGGATTTATCCATAAATGTAACATGTTAATAGATTAGTAGAATAAAATGGAAACTGATAGCATACACTGATCAGAACGGCTGTATAAACCCTTAATCTTAACAGCAATATGTCCCCCATATCAACACATTTCCTGATGTGAAGGAATATACTCCTTCAGAGAAGACCGGTGTAAACTACACGCTCCAGCCATAGAACAAAGGACTTAGAGAATGACTGCTAACCGTGAGATGAGATATCTAGTTCAATGAGACGAATAAATTATGTCTATAAAAACAAGAAATTGTAATTTACTAAAAGGTGGTGGGGGTGTTTGATGAACTTCCAGCACTGTGTTACTATGTTGTGCAAATGGTTGGAGTAATTATGTATGCCACAAAATTGATACTATGCATGGAACTGGTTTAAACTGGTTGGCTAAGGTATCTAAGACACACACACACACACACACACTGTCTCACACACACAAGGCACTGAGACAAGGGACATTTAAATAACTGGAAATTACTAGAGGAAATCTAGAACAACCAAAGCTAATTAGAGCTGCTAACTGTAAATTAACAATGGTGAGACCAGACAATTACTTAAAATGCAAAAGGGATTTTAATCATGTTTTAGGTGACAAAGATTTTTTTTCTATTTAAAAAATTGCATATGTGTGTGTGTGGTTCAGTTGTACTGTCATGGTGGTTGATCTGTGGGTCGGGGAGGCAGAGTGTGTTCTCTCTCTCTCTCTCTCAAAGAAAATAAAAAATAAAAAACTCTGGTCAAAATTGACCCTCATCACAAGCCACATTTATTGAAATAGATATCAGCAGAAAGTCATACTTTAAATATATTACTCTACCGCGCAAAGTTATTCCAAAAGGTTAGAGTTATTATACATGAAAGACTGTTAAGATCCCTGATAAACTCCCTGATAAACTTCACCCGGATGCTGCTGGTGACTACAAAGTCTGATTGATTGTACTCAACATGTACGCCCAGTATTTCTTTATAAATCCTAAGTCACACAATCAATCACTGTTTTTTATGAAATGGAGAGTGAGGTATTCAGATTCATGGTTAAATTATTGCTACATATAAAGCACATGCACTGTTCCATTGTAGTCATTTTTAAAGTAAAATCTCAAGGACAGACTACGTAAACAGCATCTGACCAAATTACGTGAGATTTGTTGATTCTTACAGTAAATACAGTCAAAAGCTATTAGCCAGGCAGCTTGGGTAATCCAGGGATCAAATGATTGGGACCACGCTGGATCAGATTCTCAGGTGGAATATGTTGATTCAAGTAGTCTCACTGTGGAGATGAGTAGGCTACAGTATCATTCACATTGTCCTTGTGGGAGCAGTCTGAGTGATCGGTCTATACGATCCGCAGCTCGTGGCTGTTCGAGAGTCCACAGCTGGCCTTGTGTTCGTTGAAGAGCTTGGCCAGGGCCTCCATGTAGAGGCCGTGAAAGTGGTCCACCTCCTCCTGGGTGGGAGAAGGCCTCTTTGGCACTGGGATAGGACTACCCACCACAGTGGTGACCGGGCAGTGGTAAGGCATCCAGAACCAGCGTTCACCCACAAACAGACAGGGGGAAAAACTCATAATCTTCTTAAAGAGTTGCTGTAATCTCCAGCCCACACTCCCCTCTGAGAAGATTACCTGGCGGAACATATCGTTCTCCCCATACGAGTAGACGGGCACCAGGTCAGCCCCAAACTCCAGGGCCACCCGGACGAAGCCTTTCCTCTGTTTCATGACCACAGTGTTGACCCCAGGCAGGCTCAGCAGGGACTCAGCAGCGCCCCCTATCACAATCACCACCGCATTGCCTTTCCCACTTTTAGACAGAAGGTGCTCGAGACTGGGCTTGCTGACTGGACAACAACCTGTGGCCATGAGATATTCCCTGAAGAGGGGGATCTTGAAGAGGCCACCCAGGGTGCAGAGGCAGGAGCACAGCCCAGGAAAGAGGTCCATAAAGCCACAGGCCTCAGTGCTGAAAGAGGCAAAGGCTCCGATACTGAACACCCCGTGAGGATGACACCCTAAGATGTAGTTCTTGTTTGGGTTCAACTCCGCTGTCTTCACTAACTTCATCGGGAAGTAGTCCCTAACGTGCTTCCACACTTTCCAGTTTCTCACAAAGGCACTTCTCCTGCCCCCTCTTTCAGGTGTGTGCCAGTCCTTCAACTGCCATATGAAGTAGAGAGCAGGCAGCGGCCACAGAGAGGTCATCAGAAGGTACACCATCAATCCAATACAAGCCGGACCTAACAGGAGGAAGCTCCATAACCATTTCAGAACACTGATATTCTCCAGGAACTCCTTGCATTGACTCTTTTCCTGCTTCATCCCTGCAACCTTTTCTGTCGTTTTCCCAAAAGGAGTTTATAGCGCGACTCCACGAAACAAGCGCAACTGTCTGGAGAGCAGTAGTACCTTGCATGGGACGTACTTTGATCACAGTTCAACTGAGACTGCAGAGATAACGATTTCTTCCACTCCCCCAACACTTTGACACACTGACAAGCTATCACTTTCAAAGATAAACATGACATAGTCCAAATCTAACATGAATGGGTGTGATCCAGATTGAGGCTGTTCTCTCTGATGGCTCCACAGAACCTGGAGAGACAGCCTGGTCTCATAGACCAGACGTAACATATTAAACGTAAATCCGGGGACACTCAAATGAGTACGATATGTTACGTTTGGTATGGTTACATAAGACAGTCAAACATGAAAGTAGGGTGGTTGGTCGCGTTGGATGGGTATAACGCGTACGTCTACCAACCCAAAGGTTGCGAGTTCGAATCTCATCACGGATAACTCAGCAGTGCTGAGGAGTATTTCTGTCTGTAATAAAGCCCTTTTGTGGGGAAAAACTCATTCTGATTGGCTGAGCCTGGCTCCCCAGTCATGGGAAATCCATAGATTAGGGCCTAATTAATTTAAATTGACTTATTTCCTTATATGAACTGTAACTCAGTTAAAACTTTGAAATTGTTACATGTTGCGTTTATATTTTTGTTCAGTATACTTAATACTTTTGAGCTACTTTGCAACTACTTAGCATGTTAGCCCTAACCTTAATGCTTTTAGCTAATCCTTCCCCTAACCGTAACCCTTTAACCTAACTCCTATTAACCATAACCCTAACCCCTAGCCTAGCTAACGTTAGCCAATTCGTAACATACCATACATTTTTCTAATTCGTAAACATATTGTACAAATTGAAATTCGTATAATTTAACACCAATTGTAATTCGTAACATATCATACAAAATGGGTGATGGACATCCACAAATTAGGGGAAGGGGTTAAGGTCTGTTACTGGGCAGGAAGTCAGGGGACAGGATCATGTTTTTTTACATTCAGGGTAACCATATCAACCTATGTTTAACTTCCTGGGCTGTGAGGTCAATGCCACCAGGCACATGGGGCTGGCTGCTTAAAATAGAGCAAATAACAGACCAAGGCTGGTGTGTGTGTGTGTGTGTGTGTGTGTGTGTGTGTAAACAGATCAATCAAGTGCACATCACCCTCCTTTCTACTGTCTGACTCTAGAGAGAGAAGGCAAGAGAGTCAATAGAATTCTGACTTCACTGAAGAGTCACACTCCATTCTGTTCTCCCCCAGATTCAGACACTTGTTTCCTTCATTAAGACACCATTAGCATGGAGATGCATGCTGCGTATCCCCCATCTAGCTCTGGTGTTTCAGAAGGAGAGAGCAAGACAGGGAAAGAGGAGAGAGAGGGAAAGAGGAGAGAGAGGGAAAGAGAAGAGAGAGGGGAATAGGAGAGAGAGGGAAAGAGGAGAGAGAGAAATAGAGGATAGAGAGGGGAAGAGGAGAGAGAGGGAAAGAGGAGAGAGAGGGAAAGAGAAGAGAGAGAAAAAGAGGAGAGAGAGGGAAAGAGAAGAGAGAGAAAAAGAGGAGAGAGAGGGGAAGAGGAGAGAGAGTCTAACAACCTGTTTCATCATGCCAGGAGGGTAAGATCTGGTTATTTGCAATTCTGCTAAAATTTCAGCATGATGAATGGCTTGTAATAGTTTAAAATACTGCTTAGTCAATTTAGGGTCGAAAGAGGTTTTAAGAGTGTCTGAACTTACGGTGGGTGTATTCTCCCCCAGAGCTATAGATTGGGCCAAAGGCCCAAACCCATTTCTTATAGGAAGCATCATTTTCCACCACCATAAGAAAGAACAGCAATCAACAATGTTGTCCCAACTGAGTCTCCACTACACCACGGACCGTATTAAAATCAAAAACAAAAAGGGGAAGAAAAAATAAAATAGATAATAAAATGTTCATAAAAAACAAGACATCAAATTCCCTTGATGTTATCCTACCAAAACATTATTTGGTAATGGTTCACTAACCAAAGGAAATTGTCCATGAAATCAACAATGTTCAAAGGTAAAAGATCCTTCACCCAAATCCTTTTCCAGGTTTTCTTGTCACTGGAGCTTCCTTTCGAGTGAATTTGCAGTCCAAGAAGCCTTCATATGCTAGATTCCATAGCACTATTGTTGCATGGCTTGTTAGAGCCAAACACAGTGCAAAAAAACCAGTTTTCTCAAACCAGTGGGTGAACCATAAAAAGTCTAAGGTAATTTAAAATATCCTAAAATCCAAGATAAAATAAATTAAAGACCTGTTAAGGGAACTTTCAGGAGTTAAAACAGAAGACAAACAGAGACCTGACGTTTCAGCTGATAGCTTTCTTCAGAGGTAAGAATTGTGGTTGAGGTTAGGGTTGTGGTTGAGGTTAGGGTTGTGGTTGAGGTTAGGGTTGTGGTTGTGGTTGAGGTTAGGGTTGTGGTTAGGGTTGTGGTTAGGGTTGAGGTTAGGGTTGTGGTTAGGGTTGTGGTTGAGGTTAGGGTTGAGGTTAGGATTGAGGTTGAGGTTAGGGTTGTGGTTATGGCTGTGGTTGAGGTTAGGGTTGTGGTTGAGGTTGAGGTTAGGTTTGAGGTTGTGGTTGAGTTTAGGTTTGAGGTTGTGGTTGAGGTTAGGTTTGTGGTTGTGGTTGACTGTAGGGTTGTGGTTGAGGTTAGGGTTGTGGTTGAGGTTGACGTTGAGGTTGAGGTTAGGGTTGTGGTTGAGGTTAGGGTTGTGGTTGAGGTTAGGTAAGGGAACAAAAGCTGTTACCCACAAGGAGTACAGGGTGCACGGGCACATAGACAATTACCCCACTCATTTTATGAACCTCTACATAAAACCAAGGTACCATTTTAATACATTGTAACAAGACTTCCTCTTGCAAAAAAATTCATTTGTTAGGAGGACTGTATTTCCAGAGAGAGGATGATTAAAAATAAGTTTTCTGAGTGAGGTTAAAAACAATGTTCATTTAAAAGTAGCCCAAGAAGGGTAAGGGAGTTCCTGACGTTTCGCCTGGTTTAGTCTTCTTCAGAGGAAGGTTAGGGTTGTGGTTAGGATTAGGGTTGAAACTCTGATGAAGACAGCTTGCTGTTGAAACGTTGGTAAATATATTTTATAATCTGAACTACTAGAGTGAGGGTATTTTCCTTTTCTTTTCTAGAGGTAGGGTTGAACCAGGAAGTGGACAGGAAGCTAGGGGTAGGGTTGAACCAGGAAGTGGACAGGAAGCTAGGGGTAGGGTTGAACCAGGATGTGGACATGAAGCTAGGGGTAGGGTTGAACCAGGATGTAAACATGAAGCTAGGGGTAGGCTTGAACCAGGATGTAAACATGAAGCTAAGGGTAGGGTTGAACCAGGATGTAAACATGAAGCTAGGGGTAGGGTTGAACCAGGATGTAAACATGAAGCTAGGGGTAGGGTTGAACCAGGATGTAAACATGAAGATAGGGGTAGGGTTGAACCAGGATGTAAACATGAAGCTAGGGGTAGGGTTGAACCAGGATGTAAACATGAAGCTAGGGGTAGGCTTGAACCAGGATGTAAACATGAAGCTAGGGGTAGGGTTGAACCAGGAAGTGGACATGAAGCTAGGGGTAGGGTTGGACCAGGAAGTGGACATGAAGCTAGGGGTAGGGTTGAACCAGGATGTGGACATGAAGCTAGGGGTAGGGTTGAACCAGGATGTGGACAGGAAGCTAAGGTTAGGGTTGAACCAGGAAGTGGACAGGAAGCTAAGGTTAGGGTTGAACCAGGAAGTGGACAGGAAGCTAAGGGTTAGGGTTGAACCAGGATGTGGACATGAAGCTAGGGGTAGGGTTGAACCAGGAAGTGGACATGAAGCTAGGGGTAGGGTTGAACCAGGAAGTGGACATGAAGCTAGGGGTAGGTTTGAACCAGGATGTGGACATGAAGCTAGGGGTAGGGTTGAACCAGGAAGTGGACATGAAGCTAGGGGTAGGTTTGAACCAGGAAGTGGACATGAAGCTAGGGGTAGGGTTGAACCAGGAAGTGGACATGAAGCTAGGGGTAGGGTTGAACCAGGAAGTGGACAGGAAGCTAAGGTTAGAATTGAACCAGGACGTGGACAGGAAGCTAGGGGTAGGGTTTACCATGTGAACCTACTGAAGAGATGGCACGCACGAGAACCCGCCCTCTATCTAAGTTTCCATTGGGGGAAGACCTCAGCTAGACCCAACGACACGCGTTCAGAGAGTTGGTCCAGCAGGAATATGGTCATGTTCTCCTAGGTGCCGGGGCGCACGGATCTCGTAGAACATCATATCCACACATGTCTGGGAGAAAAAGTGCGTAACCGGCCATACCGTATACCATAAGCCCGAAGGGTGGCGGTCCAGCGGGAAGTGACGACAATCAGTAGATTCGATGCCTACCCCATGCCCTGGGTGGACGAACTGATCGACCACTTGGGGAAGGCGAGATACGTCAGCATCCTGGACATGACAAAGGGGTACTGGCAGGTGCCGCTGGAAGCGGCCTCCCGGGAGGAGACGGCCTTCTCCACCCCGGGGGGGCTATACCACTACCGGGTTCTTCCTTTCGGGCTCCACGGGGCCCCAGCGACCTTCCTGCGACTTATGGGCCGCGTCCTGCGCCCCCCGCACCGTGAGTACGCTGCTGCTTATTTGGATGATATAAATCGTGCACATTGACAGTTGGGAGCCCCATCTCTGCAGGCTACTGGCGGTGGTGGATGTGCTAAGGGATGCGGGACTGAGCGCAAACCCCCACAAGTGCAAGTTGGGCTACACTGAGATGGAGTAGCTGGGCTATCGAATCGGGCAGGGAAACTTGAAGCCCCAAGAAAAGAAATGTGCTGCCATTAAGGAATGGCCGGTCCCCCGAACCAAGAGGCATGTGAAGTTGTTCCTGGGATTAGCAGGCTACTACAGTCGATTTGTACCCCACACAGACCTAGCGAAGGCACACCTAGTAAAGTTGTGTTTTC